AAAAAAAAAAAAATAAACCCAGGAGTTTGGCAAATATGACCTCGATGATTCCTTCATTTTCTTTTTTTTCTCCTCCTCTTCCATCAGTTTTTCACGCGTCTCCGCAAGTGCCTTTGCAGTGGTCTGTTGCACCTGTAAATAGCCCCACAAATAACTCAAGGTCATTTCAGAAACGACGCTTATACCATAATACGCGGGAATCTGAGCGAAAGAATGCCGTTTTCTGGGAAACTCTTCGAATTCGCACTTTTGAAGTCCCTTCGAATAACAGTGATCAGAATTACACTGAACAAATATTATCAGTTCAAACTGCACTACTATCACTGTGCCAGTTTTACACTGATATCATTTCATTTTCTTTTCATTGGATCCTCCGAATGTTGCTTGCCTGTATTTTGCCATGAAGTGTAGCTACGGTACCGTAAGCCTTTTGACCATCACAAACGACAGCATCAGCCGGAGTACCCGGCACTTCCTGTATAACAAAACGAAAACTTTTTGCTTGCTGGCCACTGCCAATTTCGATACTGCCTCCCTGCAACTGAATGAAATTAAGGATTACTGGCTAGAGAGATTTCCTTTTTTTAAAAGTAATGTGGAGCTGAAAAAAATTTTTTTTTCGATGATTGAAAGATGCTGCCACAGAACGAACTCAACCTCTCAATATGCACCTGCAACTACCCGGAGATGAATTCACGAGCCATCTTCTCCAGGAAATTTTGCAATGTTTTCGGTGTGTGTGTGTGTGTGTATGAAACAAGGCCAAATTGTGAACAAATCGTAATTTGGAAGAAAGCTTAAATGATTTAGCACCGGAGACGGATAGCAAAACGTTGGCGAAGAGAGGTTTGTCATTAGCAAAAAGCGATTTTCACAAATTATCTCCTGTCAGTTACATCCATCATCAATCAGTGCATCCATTTATTCAGAAGCTAAATTCCACTGAAGTTCTCAAAGCTATCCAAGTTTATGCTTCCACTGCAGTTGACAAAGACTATATGAGGCCGAAGAATCTGATGCTCAATTCAAACCCACAGTACAAACACGCTCGTTACGGATCACTTCAAAGCGAAATTTATGCACGAAGGGAAAGATGAAGAAAGTACATTAAAAAGATATGGTACTGATAAACGGGAAACAGATGATAGGCTGTTGATGACAGCGAAGACAAACAAGCTTTTTTTTATAATGCCTGGTTTCAGAAAGACGCAGGATTGATGGAGCTAAAATTATCCAAAATATGGTTAATTTCACGCTTCAGTTTTATAGCCAATTCTCAGGGATATTTCCGCGGTGATCCATTCAAAATGAGAATTGGTCATAACATATATATCGACTTCGATGAAAAAATGGTGCAAGCCAGAAGCAAGCCAGTTAATAAGCCCAAAGAAATCGATGGGAGAAGAAGCGAAAAGTTAGGAAAGTTGAAGATGGAAGGAAATTTTTCACTTCTGAGTTATGTGCTGGCTTTCTAGTGCATCTCTGCTCTCAAATTCCGGCGTTCATGGGAAACTCTTACATGATTAATTCCTTTGCTACTAAAAAAACTAAATGATAACAGAAGCGATGAATGGATTAGCGAAACTAATCACAGCATCTTCCCGGGGAAAGGAAGAGAACGAACAACTGATGTCAAGATGATCAAGCATGCTGACCATCAGATGATATGTCTCGGATGCAACAACCATCGGGAAACTGCCAAGTGCGGTGCTGATGTCCCGAGGATGCGTTTGTGTGAAAAGACAGCTAATAATAGCGACAAAGCTCGCATTTCAGTATTATCATTAGATTCCCCAACTCTCAGGGGCAAAAACGTCTAAGCCAATAAAGCTACTCTGGGTCCTACCGGATCTGTCCGGTTAGATCCACAAATCACCAAGACCACCGTACAAAACAATGATGCTCCATACCCAGCGCTGATAATCCAGCTGCTTCACTTTTACTTTCACTTTCCCCGTATTTGAGCGGCGCTCGCCTGGATCCAAAAACGACTGCGTCTGGATGTTCTGGCCGTGTCCACATTCCTCTTGCTCAGGGTTTGTCCCACCGATCATCTTCACTGCTGGGTGAAATACTGCACGCTTACTGCATTTTAATTTGATCGGTGTAAGCTTCGATTTATGCAAAAAATGCATATACATAAATACATCCATGCAAATTTTGCACAAATCGAAACTCACATAAATCAAAAGTGCGCAACGGCCTAGCTGTGTGTATATGCATGTGCATCTGTTCATGTGTGTGGAAACAAAACTGCAAAATTTTGAAGTTGAATTGTATCGGGATGTCCCGGTACTCCGAGACATCCCAGCACAATTCTACCAATCGTGCTACTTCAGGAGTAATTTCGCCTCCCACAAGAGTTGACTTTTTGATTTTTCACACTAATTTTTCCAGTTTTTAGCTTCCACTTTCCATAATTCTTGATTTATTCAAACAGACAGACACATCTTGCCGTAATGCATTTTTAGGGATTTATGCAGTCACGCATAACCAGCGAGTGGTTTAGGACAGTGTGATGTGCGAAGAAATTCGCTCAAAATTCGGAGGTCCTCCTCCCTTGGGAGCGAGCAGCTTCCTGAGAATTTTCAGTGGAAACTTCACAAACCTGTTTATCAATTTTTATCCGCGCTGATTGTCTAGCCTTTTGAGCTGCCTTAATTGCCGCAATGCTTTCATCGGTAAGTTTCATCATCATTGCAACCTGACGATTCATTGCTGCCACATCCATTTGCAGTCGGTGTACTTCCAGAACTGCGCATCCTGGTGATACAGTTGTTGGCGACCCCACCCCCGCCATCGCTTTTCTCCAGCTTTTTCAGCCGTCTGGCTCGCCTACCAAACGATCGTTCCTGCATCATTTTATAAAGTCTAGCATTTTTGGGACCAGAAGAAAACTGACGATATTTTGCGCCTCACGTAGCTAACTAACAAAGCGATTAATAAACGAACAAGTACAGAGTACAATCGCAAAAAAAAAAAATTCTTTCTTCCGGGAACTTTTTACCGTCGCAGATATAGTCATATCATGCTTTTGGATTACAACAGTATAACCCTGTGCACCGAAGATCGAAGCTCAGAGCGAACTAAACTCCTAATTTCCACACCTCTTGTACTTCATTCATCGATTATACAATGTGCATTCTGGACAAGCGCATTATGATGAACACCAACTCTCAATACCGGTTCATCCCAAAAATTAACAATCACGTTAGAAAAAAAGTACCCGGTCCCTCCTTCTCATCCAGCATCCTGGTCATCTTTTTTCCAAAATCCACATTTTTCGACTCAATGGAAATTTCAGCTTCTGCACAGCAATATAAACATTGGGATCCAACCTTCAGTTTTACATGATCTCGAACACAGGTGAATTTGAATGTCTTTGCG